GCACCATAGGTTTATCTAGTTTTTTTTTTTTTTTCCCTGAAATCAGCCACTTCCCTAAGGATCCCTGGTTCCTTTTATTGGAAAATGGAATTTAGATCTGGGTGTTTATCATGAAACTTGCAATAGAAGAGGAATGCACAAAAGGTCTCTTTCTTTCACACATACATTCAAGATTTTAATGCTAAAGAACTTGAGGTGTACACTTCAGTACAGACTGGATTATTTCTTTAGCTTTAAGCTTAATGTAAAATGTGGCATTTTGATTTTCTGAAATATTTACAACTCATTACATCTTATGTCAGATTTATAAGTAAAATTTACTGGTAGAACTTTACAAGCAAGATGTTTCTCTTAAATGTGATATATCTCAACAAGACACAAATTCCTTACACAAAGTTAAATTTGCTAATTTGGAACACATTTGAAACCTTCAAGACATCATGAAAAGTATTTATTAAGGCACTTTGACTGGTTCACACAATAATTAATAAATACCAATTTTGTGTAAGAGTGGGGGACACAAGATTGAATATGGCATGGCCCCTATCTTCAAGTAGCTCACAAGCTGAAATCCTCTGGGGGATTTTGTATTTTACCTGTTTCAAATAAACTTGCTTTTTCCTCCCTATAAATTTTTGTTTTGTTTTTACTGTCCATTCTTCTCATTGTTATTCTTCTGATCCACAGTTATACTGTTTTTTCCTCCAGCCCATACACCTCAGTTTCAAAACTCTGCTTAAATTTCTCCTCCTCCAGGAAGCCTTCCCTATATTGTCCAATCTCATCTAGCTGTATCTTTTTCTAGCCCCACAAACCTAAGGATAATTTGTCCCACAGGCATGTCAATTCAACATGAGGAGACTGGAACTCATCATACTCCCCTCATCCAGCCCCCTCAACCTCACCTTTCTCCAGTGTCTTCCACTTAAACGACGCTGCAATTATCCACTCAGGAGCCTAAGCCAGAAACCGGGAGGCAGCTGAGTTTCCTCTGCTTTCCCTGGTCCCAGATTCAAAGGTCAACCAGCAATCAGTTCTTCCAGCTCCACGTTTTGCTTCTGCCCTCTCCTTACCACCAGGCAACTGTCTTCAGACAGGTCCTCTTTCTTTTTTATCTCATTTGCAATTTGTCTTAAACAGGTCTTCTGAAAAGCAGATCCCAAACCAAGAATTTTGGTGCATGTGGTTTATTTTGGAGGTGATCCCGCGAAGGGCTGTGGGGGAGTTGGAAAATGAGACGTGGGAAGTGAGAGGAGATATCAAAAAGTGTGCTAACGAGTGGATCATCATTGAGAACAACTGGGGCCCAATCTACTGGGACCTCTGAGAAAAACTCAGAGGTACATGCCTCAGAATTGTCTTCATAAAGTACGAGGAAGCTGGTGTGTCTATCTACTGACCCAAGCAAGTCCTCTCCTGGGGCCAGAGCCTCAACAGAGAAACAGGAAGCTATTAGCATGTGTGGGGACAGTCTGCGGAGATATCTGGGGTTGGAAAGACAGAGGTTCTGACAGCAGCGGCTAAACTGCCAGGGCCTCCTAACTGGTTGTCCTGCCTCCAGTCTTGCTCCCTCCCATCCAACCCCACTACTGCCCTCAGGAATCCTTCTAAAATGCCCAATAGATCTTGCTGTTCACCTGCTTGAAATCTGTCAAGGCTTCCCTTTGCTTTCAGAAAGAAATCCAACTGGCCTGAGTTGATGGGCTAAAGCTCTGTCCTGTCTCACTCCTGACCACTCTTCCAGGTTTGTCTCCCACCGCTCCTCAGAGCTTGATCAGACCCCAGGCTCCAGGCATACTGCACTAGCTATAATTTCTCTCTTGAGCCAAACTCATGGGGTCCTTGCACACAGCAGTTCCTTTGCCTATAGGCTGCTCAAACATATTTAACAAACATTTGACTGTCTACTATATGTCAGGCACTGTACTAGATATAGCAGGTCAATTAAGGAATAAATCACATTTCTTGTCTTCAAGGGGCTTACTCACCAGAAGGAAAGAAACAGACATACATACAGAAATATTTACACTTCAACTAGGCACTGTAATAGAGAAAGGCTGTTAGAGAAAATGAAGCCTAATGGAGACCTGATGGATGCAAAGGGGTTTATCCTATAGACACAGAAAACAGCCTGGTGTGTAATTCCTATTTCTGAATGGGGATGGTGAGGTATCTGGCAGGAAAGGCTGAGGGTAAGGCTGACCAGTGGTCTGAGATCTCTGCCTCCCAGGGAGCTTGGGCTTTATTCTTCAGATCAAGACATAATGAGAGAACCCCCTTTCATCCTTCTTGGACGCTTTTTGATTCACTGTGGGGTTGCCTCCTCTAAGACTTCCCTAATTCTCTTCCCCTCTTAGATATTCATCTTTTGTGCTCTTCTAGTCTCCTTGGAAACCCCTCTCTCGGTGGTTATTAAGCTGGCTTGTGTTTTAAGGTGTACCCCCCCATGGCCTGCCAGCCTCTTTGAAGGAAGGGCTGCTCCTTCTCACCTCTATATCACAGTGCCTAGTACAACGTGGAGCCCCTTCAGTTGAGACACACTTGGAAACCTAAGTGCTTTAAGGAGGACAGAAAAAGTTGGAGGACTAAGAGATGCTGCTCTTTGGAAGTTCCTTTGAAGCCACGGGCACATGATCTATGCCCAGCTTGAGTGCAGCAAACTGTTGGAGACACTGGACTTCAGACACATGCTTCTGAGACCATAAAGGCTGTGATAATTTCCTGAGATTGGTTACTTTAGTTACAGATAACAGTGATTTTGGTTTGCTAATGGATTTTACAGTAGCTGTGCTCTAGAATTTTTAAACTTTCCCCCCCTTTTCCTTTCTTCTTCCCTCCCTCCCTCCTTCAATTTTTAGACCAGGGCTTTGATTTGGGGTGGCGGGGGGCAGTTGGGGAAAGAGATGCTCTTATGCAACACAAATACTCTTCATTTCTGCTTTGGCTAGACTCAAAGCCAAGTTCTCTATCTGACTTTCTGGAATGACCAGTAGCACTGAATGGGTAGGAGGCTGGCAGTCTGAACTGAGTCTTCTGTGCCTCCAAGAAGGCCAGCTTCCGCTAAGGGTGGTAGATGGGAAGGAACAATGAGAGTATGAAAAACTCTTTCAGAAAAACTTGTTCTCATTGTCCCTCTTCTCCTTCCAGGATGACGAGTAAGTGAATGAGGGAAGTCATCACTCACCGGCCCTCCACCTCACCTTTTTCTGAAAGAAAATTGTTCAACTCTTCTGTTTTCTTAGAGCAGAGATGCCAAATCCAGCTGGCTCTGCAGCTTCTGGCAGGTTAAAAAGTGTGCATTTCCACATGGTTTGCAGGGTCACACCAAATTCTAAAGTGTTTTTTTTTTTTTAAACTTCCCTGCTGCTGACTCCTCTGAACACATTGTGGGGCTCTGAGCAGAACTCCAGGTTCATCTGCTAGTGTCTGATGTCTGTGTGTCACTTTTGCGTTGAGTTCTCCCCAGGAGGTTGCCTTGTCCTTGAGGGGGGAAGCCTGCTAGTCTCCAGCTTCCTTTGAAACTTCCCAGTTTCTCTACCCATAGCCTCTGCGAACCTGCTCACTCACCCCAACCACTTTGTTTTCAAGTGACTTGGGAATGAATTTTTCATCTTCAAACGAATATAATTATTTGGCTTTGTGTCCACTGCATAGGTGCAGAGATAGGCAGCGTGGCTGTAGAAACGCCAGGGGAGCAGCCTTCACGATGCAAAGACCACAACGGCTCACCTCCTAATGACCTCCGTCGACAAAAATCAACACCTCCCCAAACACTTCTCCTTCGCACCTCTCTCAGAAAAGGCAGTATGCAGGGTGGTCAGGAGTTCAAGTGCTCAGTGCTCTCCTCTGCAGCTGTAACCTCCGAAGGTCACTTCAGCACTCGAGCTTCCTTTTCCTCCTATGTAAAATGGGAATAGAAACTGAATCTACTTCATAGGGATGTTGTAAGGATGAAGAGCTATCAAATGCAAACTATTCGCACAGTTCAGCGCTAAAGGTATGCCAGCTGTGCCTACTAGCAACTATTACTAGTAGTAAAGACTAGTAGGTTGCGTCTCTCTTGGGACGCAGGGAGCCTGGCCGACCACCCAGAAAGGGGTCGCTCGCCTTCCACGCCGTTTCAAGTCCCGCCGTCTAAGGGGCCTGGGTCCCACCGCACTCGCTCAGGGCGGATGGCCCGGCGGCCGCTCCGGCGAAAACACAGGTGCGGTCCTGACCGCACCGAGGCCGTGGGTGCGGCGAGCGGAGCCCGGGGGCGCCGAGCGCGGCCCGCGGGCGGGGGGGTTCGGTGGCGGCTCCAGAAGCTCGGCGGGCGGGGCTCGAGCCCTCCGGAGCGACGCCGCCTGGCACCGGACTCGCGGCCACGGCCGGGCGCGCGCCCCGACGCCGGCCCCGCCCCCGGGAGCCCCGCCCCCCGGCGCCCCGGGCTGGCCGGAGGGGGCGGCCGCGCGAGGCGACCCGCCACGCGCCTCGTTACTGGAGCCGCTCCCGGCCGGGCCCCGGCAGCTGGTCGGGGAGGCCGCCGCGGGGGAGGCGGGGGCTGCAAGGCGCGACGCCGCCGGGCCGCCCCGCCCTGGGAGGCGCCCGAGTCCTCATCAAGTGACCAATATCCCTTCCAGGAGAACACGGTCCTTCTGAGGGAAGCGGGCTCCGGCGCGCAGCCCCGGCGCCAAACCGCCGTCATCTCCTTCCTGTGCCGGGTGATTCGTCTCCTCACCCACCCGAAAAAACATAGTCCGCCCCGCGCGCCTTTGTGGGGCAGTGCTCTTCCTCACACGGTATGGCTCTCCCGGCCCATAACCTTTGTCTTTCCCACTCCAAGTGCTCCGGGCCCCACCAAGAGGATAACTTAGCCCTGAGAGGAAACCTGAAGAGAGACGCTAGAGAGGGAGCAAGGGGAAGGCAGGGAGAGGCGAGCCTGGCGGAGGAACACAGAGGGCTGTGGAGAAGTGCGCACGCGCGCCGACGGAACGAGTTCCGGTCTGGCCGGGGCCTGTCTCCTAAAAATAGCCCCGGTGTGGGGATCCGTGCGCGGATGTCCCGGCGAGTCCGGGGCTGAAGGAGGCGGCTCCGGGCGGCGCGGAGCGCGGGTGGCGGGCCCTGGCTGCGGCGTGTGTGCGCCCGCCTGCATTCGCCGGAGACCGGGTGAGGGCCGCTGGTGACAGGGCTCGGTCGGTGGGGTCGGTGAGGTTCGAGGGGGCTGCGTCTCCGTGAAAGGACCGGGTGAGGGCTGGGGGGCGCCGGGGTGGGGGGCGGCGCCGCTCGGGAGGGGCGCCAGCGGGGCCCCCGGGACGGCGGCGTGGCGCCGCGTCCCGCTGGAAGGGGCCGGGGCGGAGGCGCGCTGCGGCGAGCCGGGTGGGGTGCGGGGAGGCGGCGAGCAGTGGTCGCGTCGGGGTCGGCGCCTCCTGTTGAGGTGGGGGCGGGGTGCCCCGAGGGCGGGCCCGCGGGCTGAGGGGCGTCGCGGGCCGGCTGAGGGAGGCGCGGCGACGCGGGCTCGGCGCTCGGAGCCTCCCGGGGCGCACGTCGCGTCTGGGGCTGGGGGGCGGTGGTGGACGTCGCCTCCTTGAAAGTTGAGGGAGTTCCCTGGGGGTCCGGAGGCTCTCTGTGGGGAAACGCTCGCGGGCCCTTTTCTTAATCTTGCCGTGCGAGGCAGGGGTCTCCCCGAAGCGACTGACCCCTGGTGCAGGGGGCGTTTTGCGCTCTTGTTGGACTCAGAAGTTCCCTCACTTCTGTTTTGGATGAAGGTTGGTCTAACGGAGCGGAACTCTGTGTGTGTGTGTGTGTGTGTGTGTGTGTGTGTCACTGACCGGTTCGGTACTTGGGGCCAGAAGGTGGCCTGGGCCTGGGGGCACCTGCGGGTGCGGACTCCCGACGGTGCGGGGAAACGTCGCGGGGGGAAGGGGCTGCATAGGGAACCGCTCGCTGCCCCCGGCACGTCCGTCCAAAGTAGATCCCGGCTCGCAGGGAAGGTTTTCTGTGATGGAAACTTTGTCCTTTAGTTCGATTACGTCTGTCTTTGATCCATGAGGATCCCTTGGTAGGTGAGATAGTACAAACAAGTTTGGAAATGGTGAGCGTTTCTGAACTAGAAAAAACAAGTTGTTGTGTGCCGCGCCACCCCCCCCCCCCCCCCCTTAAAGTGTCACTGTAAAAATGTCCTCAGACCTGATGATGACTGATTCCTGAGATAAGAAGCGAGCATCCTGTCAGGATCCGGTAGGGATCCATGTGTGGATTGAAGAGTCATAGCACAGTGTTAACCTGCATTTTAGTTTACAGTGAGATTGTGATTCTAATAAGTGTGCTTTTTAAAAGGCCTGCTGTGGTGTGTTAAGAGTTATGTGTATTTTTTAAAAAATATTGTCAGAAAATTGTCAGGTTTTAGTGCAGTATGTTTTCCATGTGTATTTTTTTTTTTTTTTTACTAAATGGAGAGAAGTTTCTCTAAAGCTGTAATTAGGTGTACATTACACAAGAGCACTTTTCCTTTAAGAATCCAGCTGTGTTGTTTTGGCAACTGCCAAGTACTCCAGTTGTCAGTTTTAAAATCTGTCTTACCTTGGCAGTACTTGTACACTCTGTGGCAAAGGTAAACAAAATAGCTTAAAGATTTTTTTCCCTGCAAACACAGAAATGGCATTTATTTTAGTATGAATTTAAGAAATGAGGCTGAAACAACTCTTGTTTATTATGACTTTTGTATGTACATCTTTTGGTTTGTTTTTGGAGTTAAAAGTCTTTACTCATGTCTTTTCCTGTGAATGGCAGCTTTTGTTTTAGGAAAAAAGTCAAAAGTGTCTTCATTAAAGTGGATGACAATTTTAGTTAGATTTTATATCAAACAATGAACACATGTTATGTGTCTAGTTCTATATGATGATTCCCTAACCGATTGTGGAATCATTTTTAATTCTCAGTGAGCAGTGTAGTAAAGTGTAAAAAGTTGTGGTAATGGTGTTGCAGTGAAAATACTGAAGAATTAAAACTAACAATTTAAGTACTTTGTAGACACAGTCTTTAATAATTCTGTTAGAAGAGTGCTTTCAGTGAAAGTTTATTTACTAGAGCCATTGTGAGGTAGTAGTGATCTCTCTAAACACAATTATTTCATTTAATTCACACTGTTATATATATAACTATTGTTTTATTCATCTTGGAGAAAAGATGATAAAATTATGTTAAACTCCTTAAATTACTTCCCAGGAAGTTTTTTTTTCTCACCACTAAATTGTTTAGAGCAATGAGTGAATGAGTGGTGGAGGGTGTTCAGTAGAAGGAAAGTAGCTTTTTGGGGTTTAGAGGTAGTAATTGTAATGTCACTGTGTTGAATTAGAGCTTGAGAATGATCTATATTGTTAGGGTTTTTAATGCTTCCTTAATGGGAGTATGTGTGACAAAGACCTTTGTTTTGTTAAATGGAACTGAAAATAATCTTTTCAAGGTGAGTTATTTTGAATGGTGAGGGTTTATTTTTCAGGGTAGTTGCATTATTGTTTTGCATTTTACTTTTAGGATGCAGTGCAGTTTAATTTTATTAATATTCAAGCAGCAGTGTCATCACTCATTGGTTATCAAGAGGGAAATCATTGAAGTGTATTCTGAGAGTAGTTAAGTAATTATGAAAACATTTATTAGAATATGATTTTGAAGTTGAAATATTTTAATAAAATTTTTTTTTAGTTTTCTGATCTAGGAGGGAGAAACCATAAATTTGTTACTGGGAAATAGCATGCTTATCAGTCAGGTTTTGGAAAGCCATCATCTTTTTTTCTCTCCTTTTATAAAGTCTAGTAAGTGGGATTTGTTGTAACATACAATGATGATGGTCCTCGATTTTCTGTGGGCATTTAAAATTTTATATATTCTGTTTTGTAATCGGACCATGCACGTATCTTTTTGCTTTAAAAGATATACACTTGGCACATGTGAATGTTACAAAGTCTAGCTGAAATTTTTCTTTTATTAGTGATGGAGCAATGAAAAATAATGTTTTGTGCATTGAACATGTTTAGCATTGCCTTTTTTTCTAGATTAGAAAGAAAATTTCTGAATATTCTTAGTAACTTGAGGAGTGCTCTTTCAATGTGTAGTAATAAGACAACTATAAATATGGAAAATAAAGTCTATATTCTAGTTAGATAACTTCCTGCAAAAAACACTTTAACACATTGTGCTGATTTGCAAGTAAAGGAAGGCTGCTTGCCTTTGTCGTCAGATCTTGGTTCTGATCCCAGCTCTACCACTGACGAAGTTGGGAAGAAATGATACCACCTGCCCCATAGAATTGTTAAAATTAAATGAAACAACGGTGTAATAGGTCCTAGGGGTTGCTTGAGGCTTAATGTACAAAAATGTGTATTGCGTCATCTCCCTTCATCCCTTCCTTCCTATGAAGATTGTATAGGTGGTCTGCCTCTTACATGTACCTTTAGTGTTTGATACCAAAATAGAGTTCATATAATGCATAAATACAGGAGAATGCTCATATATTTGTTTGGGATAAAATATCTCAACATCTTAAATTCATTGTCATGTTATACATTAAATGTGTAGTTGGCTTATCTGCAGTCATTGTTGGATTCTAACTTCCATGATCTCTCTGCATATTAAAAAAATCAAAGTCAAATGTGAGTGTATTTCCTGTCTTTCAGTGAAACATCTCTCTTAGTGATTATCTGTGAGAGGCATTTTTAAAATACGGTGTTTAAAATTTGAAATTAGAAAAATATTTTTGTAACATACCTGGTTTAGTCACTAAGTCACATCCAACTCTTGCACCCTATGGGCTATATTTAGCCCACCAGGCTCCTCTGTCTGTGGGATTTTCCAGGCAAGAATACTGGAGTGAGTTGCCATTTACTTCTCCAGGGGATCTTTCCCACCCAGGGATCGAACCTGGGTCTCCTGCCTTGCAGGAAGATTCTTTACTGACTGAGCCACTCGGGAAGCCTGGAGTATATATATCTAAAAAATAATGTTTCTCTAGTAGATAATTATAATTTTTTATTCTTCATTTTATTTGTTTGGTGGAACTAAATTATTTATGTATGCTTTATCTATGTACTCTATGATAAATGGATGACTCCAGTTTATTATAATTGAGAGTGTAAGCCCATTTGTTAATAAGTCTCTTGCATGGCACAGGATATGTGTTAACACAGAATTAATAAATACTACGTTATATAGATGTTTGTCATTTGCTGATTTTAATAATTACTATTCGAATTGATACTTACTGAACTTAGTATTTTATTTTACATTAAATCATCTTAGTAATCACTCGAAATCATTAAAAAAATTAGCCGGTTTATGACGTGGTCTCTCAGATATTTGAACACTGGTGTACGACAGACAGCAGGTAATTTACTACTTCATCAGTTTAATGATTGATGATGCTGAAAGCTAGAGGAATTGTTAACAAGGGTGCAAAAACATACTAGCTGATCTGATTTCTAATAACTATCAACCAAGGCACATCTGTTTATGGTTGTCTTGAATCATTACTAATTTTATTTTCCTCCTTATACAAATACACAAACTGATTTATGAACTTAAATTCAGCAATCAATAAAGTTACATTGTTACATGTTTTGAGAAATGTTTTGGTAGTGGGTGGTAAATTTATACTGCATGAGCGGGACCTTTTTCAGCAGCTTATTTTTGTTGCCAGCAGCATGCATGTGGAGGTTGACTTGGATTACTTTGAGGTATGATTTGTCACCCTTGGAACAAAAGGATACTCTTCATGTAACCTAGTAAGATAACTAATAACTGTTGGCTTATTAGAACAAGGTCTTTTGCATTGACTAGTACTGTGTTTACTTGTCTTGTTTTTTATCCCCACCCCTAGCAATCTATCTTTTACATAAAGATTAGAATTGTATTTCTAAAATTCAGATCTAAATGTTATACTTCTTTTAAGAAAAACTTTAAAGGCATATAAAATCAGTAAAGAGGCAGTAATGTAAGAGATAAGAGGTTGATTTCTAAAATCTGCTGCCTTAGTTTTAGAATACCCACTCTAGCACTTTTTGTTCTTTGGCAAGTTCTCAATCTTCTTGAAGCTCAGTGTATAAAACAGTGATTATAATATTATCTACTTTGCAGAGTTGTTGAGAGGATTGAACGAGATGTATATTATCAAGCTTTTAGCACAGTGCTTGGTACCTAAAAATGCAATTTTTTTTTCTCTTACTGTTACTATCATTACTACTACTGCTGTTGCCATTATTAGTCATGGTTCACTTCATAATATATTCTATCCTATTTTTTCAGGCTCATTGTCAGCAACAACCCTTCAGTTTCTATGACCCAGTTAAGGCCAGCTGTTTGCTCTTCCCTGAAAAGGCTAGTATTTTCATGCTGATGTCTCCCACTTTTATTTTTCTAGCCCAGAATTTTCCTGATTTGATACCCACTTGGAAATCTAGTTGGGATTTCAAACATCATGTTAGCTATGTGACTAAAATATAGCTATTTATTCCTCTCCCCCTACCTTCTTCCTTCCTCTTATGTTCAAACCCTGATGTCTCTACTGGCCTTCCCTGTCTTAGTAAGTGGCAGTACTCAAGCCAGAAACCTGAGATAACATTTTGGGTTCCTTTCTTTTCTCTCAGATCCAGTCCATCGACACATTCTCTTGTACCTTTGGAGTTTATCTTGCACCAGTCCACTGCTCTTAGCCTTCATTGTGAAGTGAAAGTCACTTAGTCACGTCCGACTCTTTGCAACCCCATGGACTATGCAGTCCATGGAATTTTCCAGGCCAGAATACTGGAGTAGATAGGTGTTCTCTTCTCCAGGGGATCTTATGAACCCAGGAGTTGAACCCAGGTCTCCCACATTGCAGGTGAATTCTTTACCAGCTGAGCCACTAGGGAAGCCCTTCATTGCCACCTCTTTATTTCAC